TATATGTACAGGTCCATCTCTGATTGGCATCTTTCGACTCCAGAATAATCCGGAAAATCGTGTGTGATCGAGATGACCTCTCATTCATGCGAGTAGCTGCAACTCGTCTGATCTTATTGCCCTGCATCATGTTCTCCATAACTTTATCAACATTGTCTACGACAGCTTCCCTTGCATCAAGCAGCACATTTCCTTTGATATCTTCTCATAGTTAAACCCTGATTGCTCTTATCCAGGAGGTCATTGATCTTTTCATTGTAGATTTCAATATAACTGCATCTAATCAAGTACCTCTTATCAACCTGGTCTGCCACATGCTGGAATAACTGATTGGATACTAATTGGAAAAGCCCAGGATCTGTTTTATTGCCCAAAATGGTGTGTGTGTTTTGCCAGAAGATGTTTGGCCATATGCAAATATTGTGCATTGAAACCTTCCATGAAGGAATCGACTAAAGGTTTTACTACAGATCCATATACATCTGAATTTGTACATTCCTGATTAAATACATGGTCGAATATATAAACCTCTCCATGGCGACTACTTTCATCGGCTTCCCATATGCAGTTTACTCTTACGTTCCAAAGACGCTCTAGACCATCGGCTACTTCGCGGTGGATCATTGGTCTGATCTTTGTGGCTACTTTAATATTGTTGGAAGTCATTTTGGAAGCTTGAACTGAAATTTAATTAGAACTAGGGCTATTTCACGGGTTATAAAGAGGGGCAGATGTATCAGGTTGATACATTCTTTTTTTCCTCCTTTCCAGTATAGAAGATTTTTTTCTCTTGTAGGCTATGAATGCGGTCCGATAGTTTAGTAGAGCTACATTTACAGGGTGACTCAAAATCAAAGAAGAAACAGAATTGTTAAATTTCATATAGACTGTTATTGTTATTACAAAAAGAAGTTGAAGCAGCAGCAAATTCTCACAAATCTATAGATCCATCACTTTCAGCACCCGATTTTTCAACTTGAAAAATGCAGCTCGGTGAAGAATCACAAGGTAACTGTTGTCTATTCAGACAATACTCTTCTAAAAGCAACGCGAAGTTACCTAGTGCCTTACATGAATCGCCTTCATAATTCTTCATTATTGTCAATGGAAAACTGAAATTGTTGATTATTACAGTTTTTAATGCTTCAAATAAACAGATGGTGTTCGTGTTGGAAATCCCACGTCTAATCTCGCAAAACAGGTTATCCACCGGATCTTACTATCAACATCTGAAATGCCATTACTGTTTTTAGCCATGTGTACAACAGGTTTGTACGCATAAGACACTCTTACATGAAAACTGTTTATTGTCTAAAACGAAAATACCCCATTGAAGATGAGTAATGCAATAAATATAATCCTCGAAACTTGAACTGTAATATGAACATAAAAAAACTAACAAAATGGGCCATTTAACAACATATTTGGTGTTGATATTCTACAACAAAAACAAATACTTTCTCGTATAAGGAAACATACAATAATTAACATTTATCACTTTTCACGAAACAATGTAGCTGCTCTGTGACTTTGCATACTTATTACAGATTGTAGAACATTTTTTTCATTGTGTATTGTCATGTAACACCTACGTCGTTTTTTTCCCTTTATCAACTGCATCAGGATCGAGAACTCTGGGCTGAGAAGTAGACGGCTTACTTTATTCGTCGTTGGTAATTTTGGATTCTTTGCATGGCTGAACGAAGCTCCCTAGGAAGTTCTTGGATCTGATAAACGTCCTCTCATACGAAGTTAAATTAGAGTTTGCCTCAGGGGAACAATAAAATTTCGTCGCCTAATAGAACTTTCAGTCCCAGACTGAAAAAAAAGGAATTTACAGAAGCTGGTTGGATACCAAATAGCACAGGCCATCTTCTCGTTCTCTAACCAGTATTGTAATTTACACACTTCCGATCTAATGCATTACCCCGCCTTCATAGTGTTATAAAAATAATATAGAATCTTATCAGGTTTCTTTGATTCCTCTACTATTTTGTTATCATGCTGCATAGATTGCTATACGAGAACATGTGTATTTGGTTTGGAAGATACTACTCTAAGGCTGTACAACATAAACTTAGAAGTACCTGGCTGTGTTTCCTTCTTATTTGGAACTACATGTTGGGGTACTTGTTACTTATTTTACGCTTCCTGCCGACATAGGTCAGTTGGTTGATGCGCAATTCTACATGTAATTCTACTGACGTGAACCAGTCATCTGCTGTGATATTTCTGTTCGTATAGACGAAAGCATTGAGCAGGTAGTGGTGAGTCTTTGCATCATCAGTCCATACTTATTCGGTTTAGTTTTCTTGTAGGCACAGGAAGGACATCGACCCACGAGCATCTCGTATTTTGTAGGGACTCACCCGAAATATAACAATTTCGACAGTTCTCTATGAGTGTCTCGAAAATGTCACATATTTGGAGAAATTTATCGGCATTTCTCGAGTCACAGGGTTATTATTTCCAGATTGGTTGCCACGGACTTTAGTTCAGGTAAATGCGTAATAATCGACCAGTTGCAGGCGCTCGTTTTGACCAATTGTACATGTTTTTTCCATAGGCATAGCGAGGTCGCCCATAGGAAGTTGTTCAGGTTGATCGATAGCAGCGTCGTCCTCGGCGTAGTCTATAGTGTATTGTTCATCCGTCAACAACGAAAAAATCCATTGTGAAGGAAGTTCAAATCGTACACGCAACTGACATCCTCGGATCAAATTTGACCGCAAAGTCAACAAACCAACAATTGTGATGTTTAAATTAAACTGTGGTTTGAGGTATACGTGCTCATACCGTATGAGAAGTCACGGGACCCCCACCACATAACTGAGAAAGCTCGAATCATCCGACGATATCATTAAAGGATTAATTTCTATATTCTTGAACGAATCTATAAATCAAGTGGCTGGGTTTCAATTTACATAGCTCTTTGTATGGTCTTGTTTGCTGATCAACATTATATGATTTCTAGACATGTTCAATCTGTGCAGCTTCTTCACTTTCATATTAATGTCAATAAGAGCATTTCATCCATTTTTGAATAAATGTGGTTCATCACAAATTGTAGAAATACTCTGAGCATTGACTATAAAATGGAATGGACTTGATCCGTGAGTATTCTCCGAGCAAATCGTCTCAAGTGCGTTTTGATCGTTGCGCCCTGATTAGAAATAGTGCCAACAACGCACAAACCAAGTCGCTGCTAGTTTGTGATCACATGAACAATAATCGTTTTCAGATCTGGGATTCTTGTATCTTTACTAGATAATAAGCCACAACCTGCTTATAATTTTTACGAATCCCTCTTATCATGGAAGTAAGGGCATGATTTCTGATAAATCACTTTTTCAGAGTTCTAGTTGATTTTGTTACCTCAGAATTCAAGATTTATTAGCTGAAAATTGTACACTGTGAGCACTGGGATCAGCCCTAAACTTTGTCCAAACCCTGCAATAATCGTAAACACTAAACAAGGGTAGACATATTTCTAGTTTAACTGCCTGAAGATTTTCTCTATGGTTTATACGTAACTCTCCACCTATTATCTCATTTTTGTACATGTTCTGGGAGAACTCAACTTGCTCCCTATAAAATGCAACGTCTTCCTGCACAGGTGGTTCTGGTTAAGTGCCAGCCTGCTTCGGGTTTGTAATTAGTTGTTGCAATTTTCTGATTTCGTCGTCCTTTTTCATAATCCAGATTTCGTTTTGGCATTCCAGTTCAGCCATTTGATCCTGAAGCTCTTTTATAGTAGAATCATTATGGCATCGTATATCTGAGATTTTAAATGAGTGGTTGACCTCACGTTGGTTACTCTCGTCCATCAGACTCTTTACGTCATTTCTCAGTTTAGATTCAAGTTCTTTTAGGAAGCCAATTTCATCTTGCAGTTCAGCAATGTGTGACATCGTTACATCAGTTTGTGCAGCAGCACTTAAAGAATGTTGCATATCTTCGTACTCAGCGTCAAGCATAGCTTCTAAGTCTGCAACCTTCTTTTTTGACTCAATATTTTGAGCTTCAAGAGATGGTTTAGGGCTCTCTGATCTTCCTAGGTTCTTCAGTTGAGTACGCAGCATCTCTATTTCTGACTCGTATGTTTTTAGTCTTTTTATTATTTTTTTCCAGAAAATCGAGTCTGTATTGCAAGTCGATGAAATTCTTGCGCTTTTTGAGAATTTTTTTGAACTCTTTCTATTTCTTCGTTGTACGCATCCGTTACTTGGCGGAGTTCCTGACTGTAACGATCGAATTTAGAATTGGCTTCTGTGAGCTGTTTCTTCAGGTCCAAAATCTCCAGCTGATTATCTAGTTTAGTGAATTCTCTAAGCTCATTGAAAGATTCTTCCAGTTCTTTGAGTTGTCTTTTAAGTACACTTGCACGTCTTCAGCTATCACAGATTCTGCTTCGGCTAGTGCCTCCTCATATGTCTCTTCTTGAATAGGCCTCATTTCACGTCCGGATGATTCTTCTTTGGGTGGATAATTTTTCAATGGCATATACCCTAGGGATGCTTTTTTAGGTGATACGTTGCCATAGTGTCCAAAAGTATGACGTCTTAATGTTTTTTTCGGTGTTGATGCCGAGGCTCCCATTTGAAAGCGCCCGACAATAGATACTTCCGTTTTTAGTCTTTCTATCTCGAGCAGATACTCTTGTTTGCTTTTATCCATCTCTTTAGCTTAATTGCCTGCTTTTTGAGCCGAGTTTCGAGATCGCGAGTCAAGTTCTGATATCCTTGAAGTGTCTCTTCTGTAGCTGACAAGATGTTTACTTTCGTTTTATTTTTGACAGTTTTAGTGCTTTGGGCGAATTCTGGTGTAGATCTAGTCTCCTCCTCTGCAGCTAAAGTAACATTCCCGATAATCAATGATTTGGCATTACCGCCAAGAGCCTGTGAGAGCAGTCTAGTCAATTTCGAATCGCGATAACTGATAAACTCCTTCCCCTCGCTTAGTTGCCTTATCACATTTCCTAATACTGACAAAGATTTGTTTATGTTAGCCCCCTCTTTAAGACGCTCACCAGCAGCTTTCGTCAGAGAAACTCTCTCAGAACCAGCTAAGTCCATTAAGTTAAGGTAGCTTATATGTACAGGTCCATCTTTCTGATTGGCATCTTTCGACTCCAGAATAATCCGGAAAATCGTGTGTGATCGAGATGACCTCTCATTCATGCGAGTAGCTGCAACTCGTCTGATCTTATTGCCCTGCATCATGTTCTCCATAACTTTATCAACATTGTCTACGACAGCTTCCCTTGCATCAAGCAGCACATTTCCTTTGATATCTTCTCTTATAGTTAAACCCTGATTGCTCTTATCCAGGAGGTCATTGATCTTTTCATTGTAGATTTCAATATAACTGCATCTAATCAAGTACCTCTTATCAACCTGGTCTGCCACATGCTGGAATAACTGATTGGATACTAATTGGAAAAGCCCAGGATCTGTTTTATTGCCCAAAATGGTGTGTGTTTTGCCAGAAGATGTTTGGCCATATGCAAATATTGTGGCATTGAAACCTTCCATGAAGGAATCGACTAAAGGTTTTACTACAGATCCATATACATCTGAATTTGTACATTCCTGCTTAAATACATGGTCGAATATATAAACCTCTCCATGGCGACTACTTTCATCGGCTTCCCATATGCAGTTTACTCTTACGTTCCAAAGACGCTCTAGACCATCGGCTACTTCGCGGTGGATCATTGGTCTGATCTTTGTGGCTACTTTAATATTGTCGGAAGTCATTTTGGAAGCTTGAACTGAAATTTAATTAGAACTAGGGCTATTTCACGGGTTATAAAGAGGGGCACTTTTCATAATCCAGATTTCGTTTTGGCATTCCAGTTCAGCCATTTGATCCTGAAGCTCTTTTATAGTAGAATCATTATGGCATCGTATATCTGAGATTTTAAATGAGTGGTTGACCTCACGTTGGTTACTCTCGTCCATCAGACTCTTTACGTCATTTCTCAGTTTAGATTCAAGTTCTTTTAGGAAGCCAATTTCATCTTGCAGTTCAGCAATGTGTGACATCGTTACATCAGTTTGTGTAGCAGCACTTAAAGAATCTTGCATATCTTCGTACTCAGCGTCAAGCATAGCTTCTAAGTCTGCAACCTTCTTTTTTGACTCAATATTTTGAGCTTCAAGAGATGGTTTAGGGCTCTCTGATCTTCCTAGGTTCTTCAGTTGAGTACGCAGCATCTCTATTTCTGACTCGTATGTTTTTAGTCTTTTTATTATTTTTTTCCAGAAAATCGAGTCTGTATTGCAAGTCGATGAAATTCTTGCGCTTTTTGAGAATTTTTTTGAACTCTTTCTATTTCTTCGTTGTACGCATCCGTTACTTGGCGGAGTTCCTGACTGTAACGATCGAATTTAGAATTGGCTTCTGTGAGCTGTTTCTTCAGGTCCAAAATCTCCAGCTGATTATCTAGTTTAGTGAATTCTCTAAGCTCATTGAAAGATTCTTCCAGTTCTTTGAGTTGTCTTTTAAGTACACTTGCACGTCTTCAGCTATCACAGATTCTGCTTCGGCTAGTGCCTCCTCATATGTCTCTTCTTGAATAGGCCTCATTTCACGTCCGGATGATTCTTCTTTGGGTGGATAATTTTTCAATGGCATATACCCTAGGGATGCTTTTTTAGGTGATACGTTGCCATAGTGTCCAAAAGTATGACGTCTTAATGTTTTTTTCGGTGTTGATGCCGAGGCTCCCATTTGAAAGCGCCCGACAATAGATACTTCCGTTTTTAGTCTTTCTATCTCGAGCAGATACTCTTGTTTGCTTTTATCCATCTCTTTTAGCTTAATTGCCTGCTTTTTGAGCCGAGTTTCGAGATCGCGAGTCAAGTTCTGATATCCTTGAAGTGTCTCTTCTGTAGCTGACAAGATGTTTACTTTCGTTTTATTTTTGACAGTTTTAGTGCTTTGGGCGAATTCTGGTGTAGATCTAGTCTCCTCCTCTGCAGCTAAAGTAACATTCCCGATAATCAATGATTTGGCATTACCGCCAAGAGCCTGTGAGAGCAGTCTAGTCAATTTCGAATCGCGATAACTGATAAACTCCTTCCCCTCGCTTAGTTGCCTTATCACATTTCCTAATACTGACAAAGATTTGTTTATGTTAGCCCCCTCTTTAAGACGCTCACCAGCAGCTTTCGTCAGAGAAACTCTCTCAGAACCAGCTAAGTCCATTAAGTTAAGGTAGCTTATATGTACAGGTCCATCTTTCTGATTGGCATCTTTCGACTCCAGAATAATCCGGAAAATCGTGTGTGATCGAGATGACCTCTCATTCATGCGAGTAGCTGCAACTCGTCTGATCTTATTGCCCTGCATCATGTTCTCCATAACTTTATCAACATTGTCTACGACAGCTTCCCTTGCATCAAGCAGCACATTTCCTTTGATATCTTCTCTTATAGTTAAACCCTGATTGCTCTTATCCAGGAGGTCATTGATCTTTTCATTGTAGATTTCAATATAACTGCATCTAATCAAGTACCTCTTATCAACCTGGTCTGCCACATGCTGGAATAACTGATTGGATACTAATTGGAAAAGCCCAGGATCTGTTTTATTGCCCAAAATGGTGTGTGTTTTGCCAGAAGATGTTTGGCCATATGCAAATATTGTGGCATTGAAACCTTCCATGAAGGAATCGACTAAAGGTTTTACTACAGATCCATATACATCTGAATTTGTACATTCCTGCTTAAATACATGGTCGAATATATAAACCTCTCCATGGCGACTACTTTCATCGGCTTCCCATATGCAGTTTACTCTTACGTTCCAAAGACGCTCTAGACCATCGGCTACTTCGCGGTGGATCATTGGTCTGATCTTTGTGGCTACTTTAATATTGTCGGAAGTCATTTTGGAAGCTTGAACTGAAATTTAATTAGAACTAGGGCTATTTCACGGGTTATAAAGAGGGGCACTTTTCATAATCCAGATTTCGTTTTGGCATTCCAGTTCAGCCATTTGATCCTGAAGCTCTTTTATAGTAGAATCATTATGGCATCGTATATCTGAGATTTTAAATGAGTGGTTGACCTCACGTTGGTTACTCTCGTCCATCAGACTCTTTACGTCATTTCTCAGTTTAGATTCAAGTTCTTTTAGGAAGCCAATTTCATCTTGCAGTTCAGCAATGTGTGACATCGTTACATCAGTTTGTGTAGCAGCACTTAAAGAATCTTGCATATCTTCGTACTCAGCGTCAAGCATAGCTTCTAAGTCTGCAACCTTCTTTTTTGACTCAATATTTTGAGCTTCAAGAGATGGTTTAGGGCTCTCTGATCTTCCTAGGTTCTTCAGTTGAGTACGCAGCATCTCTATTTCTGACTCGTATGTTTTTAGTCTTTTTATTATTTTTTTCCAGAAAATCGAGTCTGTATTGCAAGTCGATGAAATTCTTGCGCTTTTTGAGAATTTTTTTGAACTCTTTCTATTTCTTCGTTGTACGCATCCGTTACTTGGCGGAGTTCCTGACTGTAACGATCGATTTAGAATTGGCTTCTGTGAGCTGTTTCTTCAGGTCCAAAATCTCCAGCTGATTATCTAGTTTAGTGAATTCTCTAAGCTCATTGAAAGATTCTTCCAGTTCTTTGCGTTGTCTTTTAAGTACACTTGCACGTCTTCAGCTATCACAGATTCTGCTTCGGCTAGTGCCTCCTCATATGTCTCTTCTTGAATAGGCCTCATTTCACGTCCGGATGATTCTTCTTTGGGTGGATAATTTTTCAATGGCATATACCCTAGGGATGCTTTTTTAGGTGATACGTTGCCATAGTGTCCAAAAGTATGACGTCTTAATGTTTTTTTCGGTGTTGATGCCGAGGCTCCCATTTGAAAGCGCCCGACAATAGATACTTCCGTTTTTAGTCTTTCTATCTCGAGCAGATACTCTTGTTTGCTTTTATCCATCTCTTTTAGCTTAATTGCCTGCTTTTTGAGCCGAGTTTCGAGATCGCGAGTCAAGTTCTGATATCCTTGAAGTGTCTCTTCTGTAGCTGACAAGATGTTTACTTTCGTTTTATTTTTGACAGTTTTAGTGCTTTGGGCGAATTCTGGTGTAGATCTAGTCTCCTCCTCTGCAGCTAAAGTAACATTCCCGATAATCAATGATTTGGCATTACCGCCAAGAGCCTGTGAGAGCAGTCTAGTCAATTTCGAATCGCGATAACTGATAAACTCCTTCCCCTCGCTTAGTTGCCTTATCACATTTCCTAATACTGACAAAGATTTGTTTATGTTAGCCCCCTCTTTAAGACGCTCACCAGCAGCTTTCGTCAGAGAAACTCTCTCAGAACCAGCTAAGTCCATTAAGTTAAGGTAGCTTATATGTACAGGTCCATCTTTCTGATTGGCATCTTTCGACTCCAGAATAATCCGGAAAATCGTGTGTGATCGAGATGACCTCTCATTCATGCGAGTAGCTGCAACTCGTCTGATCTTATTGCCCTGCATCATGTTCTCCATAACTTTATCAACATTGTCTACGACAGCTTCCCTTGCATCAAGCAGCACATTTCCTTTGATATCTTCTCATAGTTAAACCCTGATTGCTCTTATCCAGGAGGTCATTGATCTTTTCATTGTAGATTTCAATATAACTGCATCTAATCAAGTACCTCTTATCAACCTGGTCTGCCACATGCTGGAATAACTGATTGGATACTAATTGGAAAAGCCCAGGATCTGTTTTATTGCCCAAAATGGTGTGTGTTTTGCCAGAAGATGTTTGGCCATATGCAAATATTGTGGCATTGAAACCTTCCATGAAGGAATCGACTAAAGGTTTTACTACAGATCCATATACATCTGAATTTGTACATTCCTGATTAAATACATGGTCGAATATATAAACCTCTCCATGGCGACTACTTTCATCGGCTTCCCATATGCAGTTTACTCTTACGTTCCAAAGACGCTCTAGACCATCGGCTACTTCGCGGTGGATCATTGGTCTGATCTTTGTGGCTACTTTAATATTGTTGGAAGTCATTTTGGAAGCTTGAACTGAAATTTAATTAGAACTAGGGCTATTTCACGGGTTATAAAGAGGGGCAGATGTATCAGGTTGATACATTCTTTTTTTCCTCCTTTCCAGTATAGAAGATTTTTTTCTCTTGTAGGCTATGAATGCGGTCCGATAGTTTAGTAGAGCTACATTTACAGGGTGACTCAAAATCAAAGAAGAAACAGAATTGTTAAATTTCATATAGACTGTTATTGTTATTACAAAAAGAAGTTGAAGCAGCAGCAAATTCTCACAAATCTATAGATCCATCACTTTCAGCACCCGATTTTTCAACTTGAAAAATGCAGCTCGGTGAAGAATCACAAGGTAACTGTTGTCTATTCAGACAATACTCTTCTAAAAGCAACGCGAAGTTACCTAGTGCCTTACATGAATCGCCTTCATAATTCTTCATTATTGTCAATGGAAAACTGAAATTGTTGATTATTACAGTTTTTAATGCTTCAAATAAACAGATGGTGTTCGTGTTGGAAATCCCACGTCTAATCTCGCAAAACAGGTTATCCACCGGATCTTACTATCAACATCTGAAATGCCATTACTGTTTTTAGCCATGTGTACAACAGGTTTGTACGCATAAGACACTCTTACATGAAAACTGTTTATTGTCTAAAAACGAAAATACCCCATTGAAGATGAGTAATGCAATAAATATAATCCTCGAAACTTGAACTGTAATATGAACATAAAAAAACTAACAAAATGGGCCATTTAACAACATATTTGGTGTTGATATTCTACAACAAAAACAAATACTTTCTCGTATAAGGAAACATACAATAATTAACATTTATCACTTTTCACGAAACAATGTAAGTGCGCTGTGACTTTACATACTTATTACAGATTGTAGAACATTTTTTTCATTGTGTATTGTCATGTAACACCTACGTCGTTTTTTTTCTTTAACAACTGCATCAGGATCGAGAACTCTGGGCTGAGAAGTAGACGGCTTACTTTATTCGTCGTTGGTAATTTAGGATTCTTTGCATGGCTGAACGAAGCTCCCTAGGAAGTCTTGGATCTGATAAACGTCCTCTCATACGAAGTTAAATTAGAGTTTGCCTCAGGGGAACAATAAAATTTCGTCGCCTAATGGAACTTTCAGTCCCAGACTGAAAAAAAAGGAATTTACAGAAGCTGGTTGGATACCAAATAGCACAAGGCCATCTTCTCGTTCTCTAACCAGTATTGTAATTTACACACTTCCGATCTAATGCATTACCCCCCGCCTTCATAGTGTTATAAAAATAATATAGGATCTTATCAGGTTTCTTTGATTCCTCTACTATTTTGTTATCATGCTGCATAGATTGCTATACGAGAACATGTGTATTTGGTTTTGGAAGATACTACTCTAAGGCTGTACAACATAAACTTAGAAGTACCTGGCTGTGTTTCCTTCTTATTTGGAACTACATGTTGGGGTACTTGTTACTTATTTTTACGCTTCCTGCCGACATAGGTCAGTTGGTTGATGCGCAATTCTACATGTAATTCTACTGACGTGAACCAGTCATCTGCTGTGATATTTCTGTTCGTATAGACGAAAGCATTGAGCAGGTAGTGGTGAGTCTTTGCATCATCAGTCCATACTTATTCGGTTTAGTTTTCTTGTAGGCACAGGAAGGACATCGGCCCACGAGCATCTCGTATTTTGTAGGGGACTCACCCGAAATATAACAATTTCGACAGTTCTCTATGAGTGTCTCGAAAATTTCACGTATTTGGAGAAATTTATCGGCATTTCTCGAGTCACAGGGTTATTATTTTCCAAATTGGTTGCCACGGACTTTAGTTCAGGTAAATGCGTAATAATCGACCAGTTGCAGGCGCTCGTTTTGACCAATTGTACATGTTTTTTCCATAGGCATAGCGAGGTCGCCCATAGGAAGTTGTTCAGGTTGATCGATAGCAGCGTCGTCCTCGGCGTAGTCTATAGTGTATTGTTCATCCGTCAACAACGAAAAAATCCATTGTGAAGGAAGTTCAAATCGTACACGCAACTGACATCCTCGGATCAAATTTGACCGCAAAGTCAACAAACCAACAATTGTGATGTTTAAATTAAACTGTGGTTTGAGGTATACGTGCTCATACCGTATGAGAAGTCACGGGACCCCCACCACATAACTGAGAAAGCTCGAATCATCCGACGATATCATTAAAGGATTAATTTCTATATTCTTGAACGAATCTATAAAATCAAAGTGGCTGGGTTTCAATTTACATAGCTCTTTGTATGGTCTTGTTTGCTGATCAACATTATATGATTTCTAGACATGTTCAATCTGTGCAGCTTCTTCACTTTCATATTAATGTCAATAAGAGCATTTCATCCATTTTTGAATAAATGTGGTTCATCACAAATTGTAGAAATACTCTGAGCATTGACTATAAAATGGAATGGACTTGATCCGTGAGTATTCTCCGAGCAAATCGTCTCAAGTGCGTTTTTGATCGTTGCGCCCTGATTAGAAATAGTGCCAACAACGCACAAACCAAGTCGCTGCTAGTTTGTGATCACATGAACAATAATCGTTTTCAGATCTGGGATTCTTGTATCTTTTACTAGATAATAAGCCACAACCTGCTTATAATTTTTACGAATCCCTCTTATCATGGAAGTAAGGGCATGATTTCTGATAAATCACTTTTTCAGAGTTCTAGTTGATTTTGTTACCTCAGAATTCAAGATTTATTAGCTGAAAATTGTACACTGTGAGCACTGGGATCAGCCCTAAACTTTGTCCAAACCCTGCAATAATCGTAAACACTAAACAAGGGTAGACATATTTCTAGTTTAACTGCCTGAAGATTTTCTCTATGGTTTATACGTAACTCTCCACCTATTATCTCATTTTTGTACATGTTCTGGGAGAACTCAACTTGCTCCCTATAAAATGCAACGTCTTCCTGCACAGGTGGTTCTGGTTAAGTGCCAGCCTGCTTCGGGTTTGTAATTAGTTGTTGCAATTTTCTGATTTCGTCGTCCTTTTTCATAATCCAGATTTCGTTTTGGCATTCCAGTTCAGCCATTTGATCCTGAAGCTCTTTTATAGTAGAATCATTATGGCATCGTATATCTGAGATTTTAAATGAGTGGTTGACCTCACGTTGGTTACTCTCGTCCATCAGACTCTTTACGTCATTTCTCAGTTTAGATTCAAGTTCTTTTAGGAAGCCAATTTCATCTTGCAGTTCAGCAATGTGTGACATCGTTACATCAGTTTGTGCAGCAGCACTTAAAGAATGTTGCATATCTTCGTACTCAGCGTCAAGCATAGCTTCTAAGTCTGCAACCTTCTTTTTTGACTCAATATTTTGAGCTTCAAGAGATGGTTTAGGGCTCTCTGATCTTCCTAGGTTCTTCAGTTGAGTACGCAGCATCTCTATTTCTGACTCGTATGTTTTTAGTCTTTTTATTATTTTTTTCCAGAAAATCGAGTCTGTATTGCAAGTCGATGAAATTCTTGCGCTTTTTGAGAATTTTTTTGAACTCTTTCTATTTCTTCGTTGTACGCATCCGTTACTTGGCGGAGTTCCTGACTGTAACGATCGAATTTAGAATTGGCTTCTGTGAGCTGTTTCTTCAGGTCCAAAATCTCCAGCTGATTATCTAGTTTAGTGAATTCTCTAAGCTCATTGAAAGATTCTTCCAGTTCTTTGAGTTGTCTTTTAAGTACACTTGCACGTCTTCAGCTATCACAGATTCTGCTTCGGCTAGTGCCTCCTCATATGTCTCTTCTTGAATAGGCCTCATTTCACGTCCGGATGATTCTTCTTTGGGTGGATAATTTTTCAATGGCATATACCCTAGGGATGCTTTTTTAGGTGATACGTTGCCATAGTGTCCAAAAGTATGACGTCTTAATGTTTTTTTCGGTGTTGATGCCGAGGCTCCCATTTGAAAGCGCCCGACAATAGATACTTCCGTTTTTAGTCTTTCTATCTCGAGCAGATACTCTTGTTTGCTTTTATCCATCTCTTTTAGCTTAATTGCCTGCTTTTTGAGCCGAGTTTCGAGATCGCGAGTCAAGTTCTGATATCCTTGAAGTGTCTCTTCTGTAGCTGACAAGATGTTTACTTTCGTTTTATTTTTGACAGTTTTAGTGCTTTGGGCGAATTCTGGTGTAGATCTAGTCTCCTCCTCTGCAGCTAAAGTAACATTCCCGATAATCAATGATTTGGCATTACCGCCAAGAGCCTGTGAGAGCAGTCTAGTCAATTTCGAATCGCGATAACTGATAAACTCCTTCCCCTCGCTTAGTTGCCTTATCACATTTCCTAATACTGACAAAGATTTGTTTATGTTAGCCCCCTCTTTAAGACGCTCACCAGCAGCTTTCGTCAGAGAAACTCTCTCAGAACCAGCTAAGTCCATTAAGTTAAGGTAGCTTATATGTACAGGTCCATCTTTCTGATTGGCATCTTTCGA